GCTTGTCTAGGATGGCTTCTGCAGCCCTGGGTCAAAACCGGATGCTGAAGATCATGCCGTGCGACAAAGCCCGAAGCGACGCACATGACTACGTCACTTTCAGCAAACTAGAAAGCTGCCACCTGCAAGACAGGGACCTGTACCCGTGCCCGGGCACGGATTGCTCTAGGGTGTTTAAGCAGTTCAAGTACTTGAGTGTTCACCTGAAAGCTGAGCACCAGAACAACGATGAGAACGCAATGCATTACTTGGACATGAAGAACAAGCGAGAGAAGTGTTCGTTCTGCAGGCGGCATTTCATGTCGGCGTTCCACCTGCAGGAGCACGAGCAGGTGCACAGTGGCCCTCAGCCCTATATGTGCGTGTCGGTGGGCTGCTACGCAAGGTTTGACTCTGTCAACGAGCTGTTGCATCACAAACATGAGCACGACGACTTGCGTTACAAATGCGAGCTGAATGGCTGCAACATCGTTTTCAGTGACTTGGGGCAACTTTACCACCACGAGGCCCAGCATTTTCGGGACGCATCTTACACATGCAACTTCCACGGTTGCAAGAAGTTCTATTATTCGAAAACCGAGTTTACAAACCACCTTTCCATGCATATTTCAAACGGAGAAATGAAGGAGGCACCAGTGAAATGCGAGGAGCATGTTTTGGGTGCCCATCTCGCCTGCCTTTCAGACTCGGAAGGGCTTGAGCCAACGGATCATTCCTGCATACATGAGAATATCAGCTTGCCGTCAGGGTCTGCAAATTCAGAAGGAGTTCTAAAAGTTAAACAAGAACCTCTCACGGATGAAGAGTTAGATGGAAAAAGCAATGGCAGTTTGGGCAGCAATGTTGCGTGTCTTGCAAATGAGAAGCCCGTGTCTTTATTGACCGAGACAGCGGGCCCAGGCCAGACAATTCCTGGCATTCTATCACCCCATGAGAAAGTCTTCTTTCCATCAAATTTCAAAGAGCGTTATTCAAATGTGGCAGTTTACTTTGATGGCAGAAGGTTTACCTGTGGCTTTGAAGGCTGTGATTCAACATACAAAAATTCAAGGGGTATGCAGAAGCATCTTCGAAGGGCTCATCCATACCATTTCAAACCCAGAAGGAAGCTTGGCCTGAAGGCTAAAGATCTTGGCCGGCTCGCTGAAGCTCAGCATAACAGCACCACTGGAGAGATGAGTTCAGAGCTCAGGCATTTTTTGGACACCCAAGCTGACTCTCCAGGCAGTGTAGATTGCAATACCCATTCTAAAATCAATACTTGTTTCAAGCAAGAACTGTGCCCCTCTTCCCCCGAATTTCCCCCTTGCGAACATTCTAAAGTGTCGAGCGCAGAAGACTCAATGTTGGAGCTCCTCTTGGGCTTGAAACATTTAAGTTTAAAAAATTCTAGTAGTCGCATTGGGAACTCTTCCAGGTGGTCACAGTCCTATTCCTCCAAGTGCCCCAACTCCGAAGACGATTCTACCTCAGACCATTTCTCTGAAGAACACCAAGGCAAATTACCAAACCAATACCTTACTCAGCTGGCAGCAAAGCCATTTTTCTGCGAACGCCAAGGTTGCACGTGTGAGTTTGTGACCAGGGAAGCTCTCTTAACGCATTATGTTAGGAAACACAATTATTCCAAGGAGATGGTGCTTCAATTGAACATGTTTCGGCATCGATATTCACCATTCAAGTGTCATATTTGCCAAAGATCGTTCACAAGGAAAACACACCTTAGAGTCCATTACAGAAACAAACACAAACTTGGCAAAGTGAGGGCAGCTCAAAAATTGTTTAATGAAAGCTTTGAGGACTTGGAGGGGTGCACAGAGGACACACTGAACAGCACTGCGGGTTCCATGTCTTCATTTTATACCAACACGGAGGAGGAACTGGATGACCAAGCGAAACTCACTGGGGCGCAGCAGTGTCATCCAAAAAAGGAAGAGCTTAGTTCAGAAACCGATCTGGAGTCAGGCGAAGAAACGGAAAGCTGTGTGCCCAGAAAGCAGGCAAAACTGTCCACACTCGAAAGCCACAGGAAAGGCCTGGAAATGAAAGAAGGGAGGGGAAGTAAAAGAACCGTTGCCAAAGGAAACCTGTGTTATATTTTACATAAGTACCATAAGCCGTTCCATTGTATTAATAAAAACTGCAATTCCGCGTTTACTAACCAGAAGGGCTTGATTCGCCACTACCGGACTGTGCATCAGTACAACAAAGAGCAACTCTGCCTCGAAAAGGACAAAGCACGAACAAAGCGAGAACTTGCCAAATGTAAAAAAATATTTGTTTGCAAATATAAGGCGTGTAACAAGCGCTTTCTGTGCTCTAAATCACTCACTAAGCACTGCAGTGACTTTCACAGCCTCGAGCCCGGGGAAGAGTCCAAAATGCTTTCCGAGACTGAGGCAGTGCGATTTCCTTGTCACCATCCCCGGTGCCCCGCTGCATTTTATTCCTTCCACAAATTGAGGCATCACCTGATGGAAGAGCATGCCAAGGAAGAAGAGCTCAACAAGGACATTGAAATCCATTGTGATCTCAATGGCTGCAACAGAGTTTTCACAACATACAGCCGTTATTCACAGCACGTGTATTTTAGGCACGGTGACTACGAAGGTGTCTCCGACGATGCCAAAGAGAAAAGAAACCACCTGAAAGATGGAGTGGAGCAAAGCTACTTGAGAGATCAGTGCCTCAGGCACAGAGGAGGTGAGAAAAGGAGACGGATCCATGACAAAACAGAGAAAAATAATAATAAAAACAAAGGAAAGCAGTTTTATCATTTCAGAACCAGGGAAGAAGCCCTACGGATGTGCAGAGACAATTGCAATCAACCCCAGTATCCATGCATGTTTCAGGGATGTCCCTCGGTGGTAAAACTGGAAAGCAGTATTGTGAGACACTATAAGCGTACCCATCAGGTGTCCAGTGCTTATATAGAGCAGCAGTATGAGAAACTTGTGTTTTTTGTTGAATGTGGTACCGTGATCAGCGAAGCCTGCTTAAAAGCACGTGAAAGGTCAAATAAAGAAGCCAACGGAGACTTCCATGAGGAGCTAGCCGGGCACCCTGTGTGCCAGCATGACTCTGAAGAACGTCTTGTTCCCAATGCTGATCATGACCATGACGGAAAAGACAGTAGAAATGGCATGTATTCCGAGGGCGACGAGGCTGGTGGGTCAGGTGTCTTTCCAGACGCGGGCACTTTAAAACATAACTACAATTCAAAAGCTAGGTGTTCGGAAGACTGTGGTAGTAGAGCCATGTCACCGTCCTGTCAGCCAGAAGATTCGCCTGAAAGCGATAGGTGGGAAAACGGCTCTTACCATTCTAGTTCAGGTGCACCGCTGCCAAGGGAGAAGGGCACCAGCGACTGGCAGGAGGCATCATCACAGCAGAGTGTTAAGAGGCCTCTCCTGCCTGCTACAAAAGACAAGGTGCAAAGGCAGCCGGCACCCAAACCCTTTGACCTCAAGTCCTTCAAACCAATGGGGTTTGAGTCGTCATTTCTGAAATTCATTCAAGAGAGCGAGAACCGGAACGATGACGACGATGACGAGGAGGAGGAAGAGCCTGAGGAAGAGTGGGAGCCCTCGGAACAATATGG